CACAGCTTATTAGCTAATTTGCATATTGTGATGTGCTGTGAAACTCCTAATATGAAATTATGCGAATATATGACGTTTACAAAATCGCAAGAAATATTATATGAGCCTGTAAAAGAAAAGATTTTTTTTTTTTCTGTAGAGACTTTGTGTAATCTCTAAGCGTGTCAAAAGTACCTTTATGACCAGTAATTGATTTAACTGTTTTGACTTTTAATATGTTTTTTCAAGATGGTGAAGTCAGTGTGCGTCGTTGGTGCTGGTGTTCTGGGCCTGGGTACCGGTATCTGTATTCAAGAGAGTCTGCCTGGTGTAGATGTTACCATAATTTCTGATAAATTCACTCCAGACACGACAAGTGATGGGGCTGGGGGATTATGGGAACCACACGAGTTAGCACAGACACCAGTGCATCTTATGCAGTAAGTGTCATCAAACTTTCACCTACAATGTTGTAGTAGTTGAGGTTTCACACAACAGTTATAATACGTATTAATGTGCAGAGTTATATAGTGCCTGATTTTTTGGTAAAAATGTTATGCTTGGGATAGCATGACTGTATTTCAAAAAATTTAATTCAATATGATATCCTAATATGCAAGGTTTATGTTTACGTTTGGAATTTTAGCGAAAACCAGTTGGTTTTGGAATGGCGGACTGATACATTTTCAGTCAGAAATCAAATGTGTTTGTTAAATATGCCAAATATAGTTTTTTTCAAAATTATTCCTGTTTTTTTTGTTGTTTTTTTTCCAAACTTGTCTTATGATTAGTCCTTTATTATAACAAATCACCAATATAATGATGTTATCTAAAAATTCTTTGTACAGACATTTTTAGGGATATGTTTTAGTACGTTCTACAAAAAAAATAGAATTTGTCAGTAAATGTTGTTTTTTTACTTTGCAGGCAATGGAGTGATGCAACGTTCAAACATTTAGCCAAACTGGTGAAGAGTGAATATGCACATGAAGCAGGCGTTCATCTTGCTTCAGGGTATCATGTTTTCAAAGAATATGTTAAGGTGACTTCACTTTTTCCACCAACATAAGGGGTCTTATTGTTTGGGGTGGATACTATTTCTACTGTTGGTGAATAATCGGTAAATGGATAGACAGTATACAGAAATAAGCCACGTACATCAGTTGCTTTATAGCGTAGTTACATGAAAAGTTGTCATATTTCAGTGTGACATCCACATTAATTGCCAGCTTCATGTAATGTCATGAGGTCAATGACCTTTTTCAATAGTCAAGGATCGAAGAACACACACTTATCTCTAAAGTCGAGCTTTAAGTTAAAAAATTCCAGACTATTCAATTATTTATATATGAAAAAGAGGTGTATGATTTTCTAATCTACATATATGTATGTTTAATGGGGAACCGATACTATAAATAAGGGCAAGATGGCCACCGCAATTAGTATGCTAATCTGAACCAAGCCGCTCACATCGTGGCGGGAGTTCCAGGAAATGTGCCATTTACGATGTTTAGAGATCAAGCTGTGATTCCAAATACATTTCTATGGGGGCATGAATATGTACGCTAGCGATTAATTTACACTCATCTGGTTGGGCTTTTGATGATGTTTTCGCGTGATGTGTCGCGACAAGTAAAAAGTTTAAAACAGCAGTTAATGTATGCAAAATGCCTGTCAATCACAGTTTGAGTAAGCAAGCATAATAAGCATTCATTTACTTAGTGGACAGAGGCGGAGTTAATTACCAATGAGCACTTGGTGCAATCCATAGGATTGAGCGGTTCCCCTTTAAACATTTAAACAAAAACAAAAATAGAGGGTAAGATTGTATGACTGATTTCAAGCAATGTTCAAGCAATGTTTATTGATTTTTCCCAGGCTATATGTAATATTGTATGTTGGTTTCACCATATTATGATTGAATAGCTAGAGTTTTGTAGAGATGTTTCTGTTGATCTACTAGTGTATCATATGCTAGATTGATTAATCTATTTCTTAAAGGCCCAGGTATACTATAAATACGCTCCTAAACAATAGGGATTATTTCCTTGCTTGTCATGCTGGAGTAAACAGCTCCAGCCAAGCTCCGGTGAAAACGCGTTTTCTCTAACTTACAGGTCGATTATGTCATGCCAAAGTGGATGTATGTGACTACGAATATCACAGCAGTGACTGTGTTTAGTATTTATGACAATAAATAGTGTACGAGCTGAGATTTTGTCGGATAAAAGTCAAAAACACGAACCGGGGAAAGGGGCGCGCTACTAATCTTGAATAATTAACTACTGTCAATCAAAGTTACCTGATGTTGGACCGCTGAAACAGGATGCGTCATAGGCTATGCAAGTGATTAACAACACTCATTAGCATAGCCACACCTCCAATTCACACTTGCCCGGGGCAAGGCTTTGGTACTACCACCGTCCGTGTTGAGGGACGGTGGTGATACTTAATTACTGGGAGTTAAATTTTAACAATTTGTAGTAATTGTCGGAGTTCCATCCTTGTGCCAAAATGATTCTGGTAATCATTATTCAGTAAATTTCAACAGAATGCCAGGTAGTGTTATTCAGTACATATGTTTTGTATCAGGATTCGCGGATTTGGTGTTAGAATTTGAATCTTTTATATAGTTGCAACTGTAATATTGCGTTTGTTCTTTGGTGTGATGATATCAATTGTCTTGTTGCTGTGCAACTTTTCTTGCTTTGTCTTTCCATTGTTGATTTCATATCAAATTGTTTTAAATAAGAAAAAATTAGACATATTTTGTTTTAAATAGAAAAGCTACTAAATTGATTATTTTTTATTATATTTCTTATAGGACCCTGATTGGAAAGGCAGTGTGTATGGTTTCAGAACAATTTCAGAAGACTCTGAAGAAATAAAGCAATTTCCAGGATATAAGTAAGTACATTCTCCAATACCAACATTCTCTTTGTTAGAGCTGGTAGTCCTGAGATGTATGTATGTTTTCCATTGAAAAAGCATTTTTTTCTGATACTTTTGAATATTTTGTTGTCACTTGGAATATATTTTTGCTCAAGTTGTAAATCAATGAAAATAAATGGCGGTGAAAATTTTATTTTTTCTCCGTCGTTTTAAATATAAGCTTATTACAAATCAAACAAATCGTGAATTCTGTAATGTATTTTATTTTTTCTGTTATGAATTTGATATTTTAATGGTATCCAAGCAAAAATATTTCAAAAGTTGCTGTAACTTTTTACTGTAAAGAATTTCATGATTTCCACTAATCGAGTTCCACTAATTAGTAAGAGTAATTTACAGTAGTGGATTGTAATTTCTTTTTAATGAGGATTCTAGCTTCATCAGAAAATTTATTTTCCATATACCAGTTAAGGTAGAAGCCTACTCATAAATTAAAATACCCAGAATTTATTCATTTTGTAATAAAATGTACTCCAAGGCAATATAAGGATATTGACCTAAAAAAAGTTGGGGGTTACCGGTACCAGCGTTTTTTTCGAGAAATTGATGGCTGCATTTTAGTGGAAAGTCACCATTTTGACACTATTATAACACTTTTACCACAGGTTCCTATGGCAGAGATTTTATGCAATATCTCAAAATCTAGCCTGTTGACATAGGCTGAAAAAATCATATTTTGTTAATGATAGAGTACTTTTTGTTGTTCTGAATTATTTAAAAAATCTGGGTTTTAAAAAGTGTCAAAAAATGAATTTTTTCTTTATCATTGTGTTCTATGGAATTGTTCCAAAAAAAGCAATTTTCAAGAAATATTAGGACACATTTCTCAAAAAGCTTAACTGTAACACACAAAACAATGCTATTTGATTGTACCATGGGACATTAGCTTCATGATTGTACATAATTAACATTATCATGTGATTTATGACCAATTTTGTCAAAAATTATGACTAGGCTTCTACCTTAAGCCACTTGATTTTTATCGAACTTTAAATATGCAAAAAAAAATTTCATTTTATTATTTCCATGTGCACAGCAGTTCCCCACAATGAATGACACAAATCTAGCACTAACTGCTGAGCCAGCAAAAGAAGTTGAAGATATAATATCCATAATACTAAGTGAACATAACTATTAGGTCATACATCAAGATATTTGTAGACATACATCTAAACCAATGAGTTCTATGTTGACAGGCATGCATGGTTCTTCACGTCTATTATGTGTGAGGGCGCCAGATACATCCCATGGTTAACTGTCAGGTAAGCAGCATAATGTGTGGTTTTGTAGTTACTAAAGATACCTACAATTATAGATATTTTTATTGTGGATTATTGTGTATACATGTATTCTGGTTATGCAAAAAAAAAAAAATGTTTCTGGTCAAATTGTTTAAAAATTATTTTATTGTTAAATATTCAAAGGGGCAAACAAATTTGCAGGTTTCATTAATTTGTCAATAGAGGGCGCTCTGCAGTGGCAAATTACAGGTTAGTGAGAGAAAAGTTGGACCCATTTTTTTGGTGGTTCAGTCAGAAACATAACTTTTTTTAGACATTTTATTCAGAGTTACCAAAGTAAATGTGATGCCTATAATTGAGATGGTTTTTTTCTTATTGCAGATACCAGAGAAATGGTGGAAAGACAATTAAAAGAAAATTGGACTCTCTAGATGAGGTAAACAATGATTTGTCTTTCTGTTAGGGTAGGTTTTAATCCAAAAACTGAAAATATTAAATCAGGTTCCGATTTTTTTCAAACTTGGTACAATACATGTCATAAATATGCATGACATTGTCAATTTTTAACAGGATTGAATATAGCCGATTGGTGGTCATTTTGAACATAAACACAGCAAATATGTGTCCCAAACCATGAGCTCTTAAAAATGACTGGGCTGATTTCATTCTAACCTGCCATGACAATTATATTGTGTCACAGGTGCACATTACTATTTTTTCAAGATTGGATTTAAAATGTCAGACTCACTGATAATGGATATTGTTTTTTCTAAGTTGCTACCTTATTGATTATTTATGTTGAAGTCTGCTTATATATACAAATATCTAGAATCTACTGTAGAATACTTTACTTTTGCTTGGAATTTATTTTCGCTATTTTCGCTGGAGGGATGATTCCGTGAAAATAAAATCCAGCGAATATACTTTTTTTCCTATATTTCACATTAAACTCATCAGAAATCAGTGAAAATAAATTTCATACAAAACGTCCAAAAAGCCTTTTCAGCGAAAATTAATTCCAGCGAAAATAAAGTATTCCACAGTATTCATTTTCCAATATATTGTACTTCTAGGCAATATAAAAAAAATTATATGTTGTGAATGATTGGGGTACTTCTTATTGCCCTCTTGTTGTCTGGGTCATGTCAAACCCTCC